ATATCTGACAGGATTGTATCCATTAGTTGTTGGAAGATAGACGGCGCAGTCTTAACTCCAAAAGGTAGACGGTTATACTGAAACAAACCGCGATGAGTGTTGATAGTAAGCAGCTCTTTAGATGCTTCATCGACTTCCACTTGCAAATAAGCATCAGCTAGGTCAAGCTTTGCGAAGAACTTTCCCCCATTCAGCATAGTGAACAGATCTGCCGGGACTGGCAGAGGATAATGATGCTGTTCTAGAGCTGCGTTGAGACCTGTAGAGAAGTCAGCACATATACGTATCGTGCCGTTGGCCTTCTTGATAACGACTATAGGTGCTGCCCAACTGGAGTAAGAAACGGGAGTAATAACTCCTTGTCGTTGAAGGCGATCCAGCTCTTCATCTACTGTTGCTAATGTAGCATACGGTACAGGTCTCTTTGGACGAAAAGCAGGCTTAGCCCCATGTTTCAACCGAAGTGTTGCTTTCATAGCAGTGCACCGACCTAATCCAGGTTCAAAAATGGTTGAAAACTCTGTCATCAGCTTCTTCGTATACGCTTCTGGGTCATGTCGTTGTGATACCAGGTTGCATATGGTATTTAGCGGGACATCAGCCAATTTTAGCTGGTCGAACCAATCTAAACCAAGTAAATTTAGATCAGCTGGCGTTATATAGCATACCCCAGTAAACGACGAATCCCGGAAAGCAACTTTACATTCCAATTGTCCTAACAGACGAAGATAATTACCACATGCTGTGCGAGGCTTTTGTGTTGTGTGCTGCAGGCTTGGGCTGCCCAACTTGGTCCAATTTTTGCGTGAGAGGATAGTGACATCAGATGCAGTATCTATTTGCATTCTACACAAATAACCGTTAATATTAAGAGTAATAAATCTCCTCTCACCTGGTGATGAACTTTGGCAGGAAGATATTAGGCTCAATGCATTGGTACTGGATCTAGGAACAGGCTTCTTAGCACTTCTGGATCGCTTTGGCTTTTTCTGTAGGCAAAAGCCATCTTTATGACCGATGACTTTACACTTCCTGCATCTATGCTGCCTAAATGGGCAGTTCCGTACATAGTGCCATGAACCGCAGTGCCAGCAAGCAGAAGGTGGATTCATTTTGGGTTTTTGGGCCGAATTGGAGCGGGGTGAACTGGGTGTAGCATGGGCAGACTTATAATGATTAGGTGGCTGCTGTACCAAATGAATTTCAGATCGGCTTGAACTACCACTCTGAACTATAGTCGAGTCTCGTTGTAGGTTAGTGAGACGTTGGTACTCATGAGCCATATCATTAAGCGTAAGCTTTGGATCTTGCTCCAACCGACTTAGTAGCCTTGTTCTAATGTCACTGAACTTACTCGACTGGAGGCTGCAGATGAGAATGAGGGCTTTGAACTGGTCTTCGGACAAAGACTTCAACCGAAAGCGTTCGCATTCACGGTTGACGATGCCCACGTGCGTAAGAAAATCATCATCTTCGTTCATAATAAGCTTCAAACATCGATAACGAGTATTAAATAGTGACGAGTTGTCTCCAAAGTGTTGGCTTAAAGTCTGAACAGTCTCAGAAAACGAACAATCTCGTGGGTTCAAATTCATTTGTTTCCTTAACAGCTCCAACATACGTTCCTGGAACTGTTCATATCGTTTACCTTGACGTTCCAGTAAAGATTCTAACTGTTCAAGGTTAATTGACATTGTGAATTGTGAGCCCCGTCGCCACTGATATGTTCGGCACTTAGTAGTATGCTTGATGCTATTACGAGTTTACCTTAGTCGATAAACGCGAACGATACTTTTACCAGCTTCCAGGAAGGCTACCTTGCATCCAAACGGTAAAACAGAAGTCTTGGTAAGCGTAGAAAGTATATTCTACAAGCACCCAGCAATCCCAGTACAATCAAGCATACAACTCTCGTTTATTTATACAACATAACAACGTCCTTGAGACAGTTAAGAAAATAGCATACTAAAATACACTGTAGCCAATCACAGCCATTGATTTTCCTGGTGGGAATTGAAATCTCAAGGTCATTTGATCAGCCCCTGCTGGCGAACGTGAAAACCAAAATACGGCATTATCAAGCGAATTTTTGGGGATCTAACATCCCCAACACAATGGCTTAATTAAAATCAATGTGTGATGCAGGCAATCTCCACAAATCCCTTAGAACAAAACAAGTAATTATTTTAAATAAGTTCGATGTGTATAAATATTTTGTTTTTTCTTCAATCGATTCAAGTTGTCATACTTGTACCCTTTTTTCCAATCTACAGGAAATATGTCAATTCGGTGGAAATGAACTACATTCAGTGGTTGCATTTATGGGTGGAGTTGTAGCACAAGAAGTAATCAAGCTAATCACGCATCAATTTGTTCCCATATCAAAACCATTGATTTATAATGCTATATACCAAAAAATTGAATTATTGGATTTTTAATCAATATTGTTGTGCATAGGTTGAGAATGTGTATACACCACATTGAATAAATCTTATTGTTCAATTCACCTGCTACATTTTTAAAAAATCTTTTTTCCTATTCCGATTAAATCAGTATTAAGTATGAGATTCATAGAGATATAGCTATCTGGGATCTGTATTTAAATGCATGAACTGCAGTATGTTATACTGCAGTTAAAATATGAGAAGAAATATATAACGGCGTGTTCCTCTTTGTTTGGTTTCATGTCATGACCACCAATCATCACTGGTTGCTCACCTTTCACTTAATGCCAACTTTTTACAGATTTTCGGTTTGTGTTAACTTTCGAGCTCTAAACGTACCAAAAATGTAATGTGAATTCAGCTTCAAACATTGATAACAAATGATGGACGTCCTTGTCCCCTAAAATTTCTGTTTATGGTTTCGCCACTATTCTTTATGGCTTACTTTTAATTACAATATAATTATATCAGAACTGAGGATGATCTGGACACAAGAGTATAGGTCTAAGCGAATCTCATTTCGTTAAAAAAAAATGCTAAGTTTCTCCTACATAACTATCAGTAATAAACAATTAACATATCTAAACATCTGACAGTAACCTAAATAGATCATCAACATCTGCTTTCTGTTATTCGTTACAATAATAAACGAAGTTCTGAATTTATTATGAATAAAAGATGGTAATAACATTTATTGAATATCTCTCGACATGACAGGAAACGGGGTTTATGTGTGTTAAGTTGTCACTAGGTACACTTGAAGCTATTACGAGTTCACATTAGTCGATAAACGCGAACGAGACAATGACCCAGCGTCCAGGTAGGCTACCTTGATCCCCAAACTGCAAAAGAGAATTCTTGATAAGCGTAGAAAGTATATTCTACAGCAAGCACACGAACCGCGTTTATTTATACACCATAGAAACGTCCTTGGGACAGTCACAAAAATAGCACACTGAAATACACAGCCATGGATTTTCCTGGTGGGAAATGCGATCTCAAGGTCAACTGATCAGCTCATGCTCAGAAACATAAAATTCAAAATAAAGGCGAGGTCTGGGGATCTAAGATCCCCAACTATGTGCAAAAATGGCACACAGTTTTCCACATTACGAAAATACAAATTATTGACCTGCTTCTGAACGATGGTGATTGTAGCTGATGTTCAAAAGAGGCTAATTAGGTTGCCTAATTTTATATAACACATACTACTGTGACTTGAACTCCTAGTGTCACTCTGGGGTTACTGCCTGTCCCAAGCCCGGAAAAAGGAGGGTTGGGCATGGGGTTAGCGACCCCATCCCGTAGAAAACAAACTCGCTAAGAAAATGCCATTTTAACTCTGCCCTGGGAGTTAGGTCTTTATTTAGAAGAGTTATCACATCTCATGATGAAAGCCGAGTTCCTTCAGACCAGGACCAGACAACATCCCAGCTGATGCAATGAAAGCAGACGTAGCAGTAAATGCACAGATACTCAAAATCAGCAGCCTGGGTTTCGTAAGGAATGATCATGTACCGACCAGATTGCAACATTACGGATCATTGTGGAACAATTAATTGAATGGAACTTAGCACTCTACACCAACTTCGAGAAAGCATTTGATAGCGTGGACAGGACAACACCATGGCGTGCCTGATACTATTACTTTATTCAGAGTGATAATATGTTTTCTAGATAGAACACATCACCTTTCCGTAGCCTCTCTTACACTGCTCTCCGTACTGATAAATAGTGGTGTTGCTGAGGGACAATTCACTAATCCTTGTCAAGACTGTAACATTAACGGTATTCGATTTTTCCCCGATGGTCGCTGATTAATGAGTGTGGATTAAAATTTATTTCTTAACCATTATTGTGAAAAAACTTACTCGACAAAACTGTGATAATAGTGTTCATATATTGTTACGTTCGTCACTAGGTATGTCTGAAGCTATTACGAGTTCACCTAAGTTGATAAACACGAACAAGACAATTACCAGCGTCCTGGGAGGCTACCTTGAATCCCAAAACTGCAAAACAGAAGTCTTGATAAGCGTAGAAAGTATATTCTACAACACCCAGCAATCACAATACAATCAAGTACACAACTCCCGTTTATTTATACATCATTGAAACGTCCTTGGGACAGTCACGAAAATAGCACACTAAAATACACAGCAGCCTATCACAGCCATGGATTTTCTTGGTGAGAAATGAAATCTCAAAGTCAACTGATCAGCTCATGCTCGGAAACATGAAATCCAAATATATATAATTAGTCCTACAGTTCTGGGTCAACAAGAACTGACTAACTGTTTTTAGGAAATTGATAAGTTTGGCGATAACTGAATTCTACCATTCGAATTTGTCATGTAGCCACTTGGTTTAATTGACTTGATGAGTCAAGAGTTTTCAGCCGACTAATGAGCCTAACGTGCTAGTTTGTCATACTATCAACGAGATAATTCACTTTATGCTATTTAAGTGTGCATAGATTTGAACTGATCCACTATAGTTACATTTATAAATTGGAATGAACTAGTTAAAAGTAAAAAAAAGAAATTCATCATACAGTTTATCTTGTTTGTTTTTTTTACAAAACAGTCATGAAAAATAAATCGTATACAACATGTTATTACATTATTTGTTAAAAAACTTTTTAAGATGTGAAAATTCTTCTCAAGTATTTATAATGAAAAAGTCAGGAGAAAACAAATTGAAAAAAAATCATACACACAATGAAACTATATAATATATTGAACAAGTGTAGCAGTGAATGAGAAAATACTACAAAATTCAGAAAAAAGTTTCATCTACTCTTTCTCTCTCTCTCTATGTAAGTATGTATATATATATGTATAGTGCCTTCAGGAAGTGTTTGTCTCTTGATTGTCTGAATTAAATGTTTGATCAACATCATTGATTTTATTATTATTATTATTATTATCTCCTATAGTAGTAGTATTAGTAGTAGGTAAAATTCCATGACGTTGTTGATCCCAAAGTTTTCTATAGTATGAATCTGATTGTGATAATAGACTTGAATGTGTACCACGTTCAGATACATGACCATTTTGTAAAACTAAAATTTCATCAGCATCAATAATTGTACTTAATCGATGTGCAATGACAAGTGATGTAACACCAGGTGTAACTTCTGTTAATCGTTGAAGAATAGTCTATATTTGTTTTAATAAAGAAATTGGAAAAAACAAACAACAGAATTATATATATATAGATGATAGTAATCGATGTTTAGAGACCTTGAATGACATGACTCAAAACCGTTTGCAATGGCGCAAGTGTTCTCTGAAATTCTAGTCTTCTGAATTCTTCATTATCTCTAACTTTGTCTTTCTTTCTACAGTTATCTCACTAGATTATACTTCTCGAATAATTTCTTTGAATGCTAGTCTTTCCGATCACAGCTAATACTTTTACTACTGTCAGGATATTCATCCAATATCCTAAGAGAATTATTGGTCAAATCCTATTGGTCGATTTCTATTGGTCAAAATTATGGTCGTTTTAACTGTCAAAGTCAAATACTTCAATGTTGTCTCTTATTGGTCATCCGGACTGTCAATGTCATTTCAAATGTTACTTCCTATTGGTCGTCTTAACTGTCAATGCCACAGAATTCGATGCTGTTTCCTATTCGACCAAAATGTATAAATACGCATTATCTGTAACATTTTATGACCACGACCAGGACCAGGACTCGGTCCCGGATCCCTAGTCCGGGATCATGATTCTCTTCTGGATTCGGACCTCGTACTTTCTGGATGCTTGTAGAATACATGTTCTACTTCACATTCAAGTCTTCTTATTTTTACCAAATATGGTGGTTGGGATAATCGGATTAGAGTAGCTTGTCGTGTCACCGGATCCTCGATCCTCGCTCTTGTTTTCCGACTAGGTAAATTCGTAATAAATCAAGTATATCAAGTTGATGTTGTTACGTGCAGGCGTAACAACTACGTCTACTACTACGGGATTTGAATTGTCAATTACATCTCTGTGCTAATGTGGAATGGCAACTTGAACTGATGTACGTACGTACGAAGTTCTACGCTGAATGACTTTCGCGAAATTAAACAAATGATAATGAGTTAAAAAACTGACTAATAACCAATCGATTTATCTGTTCATTCACGTGTGCTTAAACAACATTGTCACACATAAGCAGACTATTTGTATTTATTAACTCGATGACTCTTTTTTTAGTTTAATCCGTATAAAAGAAGTGATCCCTGAAGAAGTTTATCAGCATACTTAAAACCAACTGGTGATCTAACAATGATTGAGTGATTTCAATGTGTACAACCACTAATCTCCATAACTCTAACTGAAGATACTTAAAACGGTTTGGCATAACTCTAACTTAATCAGAGTATACAAACAGTTTTTCATTGTTTTGAAATGAAATTTTTAAAACAATTCCATTTTCTGGAGAATAATTTCCAATTTTAAAGGAAAGACAATATATAAGCTAACTAAATTGTATATAATCAATGTACTTCGGCATGATACAAATTTCGTACCACCTACATGGTCAGTAATCTAAAATTGAGAAGTTAGCGAATTTTAATAACCATTGTGCACTGTTAATGATGTGACATACAGTAGTAGTTTGTATACAACATAAGTCAGAACAACAACTGTATAATCTAATATTCATGTCTGATGGCTCTTATGAGGTTTGTTTGTTTGTTTACAAATAAATCTATTATACACTGGGACATAAGTCACCTATGCCTAACCACCGACTACCTCGTTGAGTTATATTTTGCGATGTAGGAAAAGGTTGGAAGAAAGCTAGGGGCGGCCATACCAAAACATGGCAACAATCCACGAAGTCACTGACAAGTGAACTAAGTCATGTTGATAGGTGTAGACTATCTGGTTCGGGTCAGCGAGATGATAGTAATCGATGGTTAGAGACCTTGTATGACATGGCACAAAACCGTTTGCAGTGGCGCAGGTGCATTCATACTTTGGCTTCTCTCAAATCCTAACTTTCGGAGTTCCCCATCATCTTTTTCTTTTGAAGTTTATTCCACTATATTATACTTCTTGAATAATATTGTCGAACCTTAAAATCTCCGATTACTGCTAATACTTCCACTACCTCTACTACTATAGGATTTGAATTGACAATTGCATCTCTTTGCTACTGTAGTATGGCAACCTGAACTGATGTACGTACCTACGAAGTTCTAAGTTGCTGTTGATTGGCTGATTGATTGACGAGAATTTCGGTGAATATTGATTAAGAATTTTTTTCTCATTTAATAGCCACTCTTCATTATCATGAGTTGGAAGTAAGAAATATTTAATTCATTGAAATCTTAATTATAATTTTCTTTAAAAATAAATTAAACTTCAAATGGAGAACCATCGAAAAAAAACATACATGTTCAGTGATTGAATCTAGTGATGATGTTGCTTCATCATAAATTAAAATTGGAGCTTTTTTCAACAAAGCTCTAGCTATTGCTATTCGTTGTTTCTCACCACCGCTCAATTTTAATCCACGTTCGCCAACCTATACGTTTTGAGAACAGAAAAACTATAAGTTTATAAGACATTATTAAAACAAACGAAAAAATTGATCACTTATTGAATTATTAGCAATAAATGTATACCGGATGTAATGTAGTGAAGGAGAACGCAGGTGAGGGCAACCGAATTGTATTTATCTCAAATTACAGAGTTATTTAGTAAAATAGAAAAACCATATCGTAAATCGTTAATTTGCTAAATATCAATCCATCATATCGAAGTAGTCTGTTCCTGTTGCAAAACACCAATGCTTTGCCTGACATTTCACTGTTCATGCGTTTCATACAAATTCCATTGTGTTGCCGCTCTTCCCTTTTTGATCTTTACCCATCTTCTGCTGACAGACATTACGTTTTTATTCGCGTCACATACTACTTATAAGTAGCGCGCACCACAGTAGGTTATATTCATCAAAAATTATTCTTAACTGAAGTACCATTGAAAACATGGTAGTATTGGATAATTGTTTCGTTCTAGTATGGAATAACTCAACAACCCCGGATTATATTAAAGATCGAATTAGGGACCTTCAGAGTTCTAAGCAAACACTTAATCCTTAGAAAACACAAACTGAAGTCAGTCTTCAAAAAGCCTCTTCTACTAAACTATAGCAGTCATTTACTTCCAGAGGTTCTTGTAACTCTACGAAGAGCTTGTGACTGGTGGAGTTCGGACATATCCAGAGTGACATGTCTGACGTATAGCGAATTGATTGGAGCCTTACTGTCCGGCCAAAACCCGATTGTTCTAGTGGTTCAGTTCTTGCCATGACACCTGAAGGCTTGTGTTTGAATGCTGGTGGAGTAGTGAATGTGTCCTACTGAAAAGCCTCAAAATATAAAACAGCCATCCATTGTCCCTTGGTTTTTTAATAATACCTTAACTGTGATCAAACTTTGACAAAATACAGTCTACAAATTAAAACAAATCTTTCAAAACAACATCAACTAAATTATGTTAGATATACTAATTCCTAATAACTATAACTCATTTATCAAGTTAACGTTTACATAATCAGCTATAAGCGACACAACTGTTTGATACTACCAGACTATCTAAAATACAAATAGTCTGAATGACATGTTAACTAACAACTTTGCGACTGCAAACTAAATCTTTTTACTGTTAACCACCTTGTTATATAATAAATGATTCTAATTAGCATTTCTTTACATTCACATTTCACCAGTTGACAAAACAATTTTCATATCGACTAGAACCTATTCGTGTTACAATAACTACTCGACATGATCATGAAGACGAATAGATTGTACTAACAATATTCCAGACCGAATATGAAGTGCAGAAGATATAAAACTATACACCTTTAAGAAGTGTATCCTTCTTTGTCTCCGTCTATAGATGATAATGATGAGTAGAGTGCAATTGGGTCTTTTACTGTACCGTATATAATAATATATGCAAGTATATAGTAGTCGCATACTATAAGTGTGAAGCATTTTTTTAAAAAATCGACATGTCTCACTTACTTGTGTATCATATCCATGTGGCATACGTTTAATTGCATTGGCTATATTTGCTAAACGAGCTGCCTCGTAGACTTCTTCTGCAGTTGCATTCAAATTACCATATTGAAGATTATAGAATATAGTATTATGAAATAAAACTGTATCCTATATGAAACAACAAGACAATTTATGAATGGATTGTTCAGAGAAAACATTTACACAATTCATGTTGAGTTATTAACAGATGTATTTTTTTTTGTTTTGAAAAAAAAGGAAGGTGTGATTATTGTCGGGGACGTTCGATCCCCAGAACTCGCTTGATAAATGCCTTAATTTTGGATTTAATGTTTCCGAGCATGATCTGATCAGTTGACTTTGAGATTTCATTTCCCACCAGAAAAATCCATGGCTGTGATTGGCTGCTGTGTATTTTTTAGTGTGCTATTTTTGTGACTGTCCCAAGGACGTTTCTATGATGTATAAATAAACGCGGTTTGTGTGCTTGATTGTATTGAGCTTGCTAGGTGTTTGTAGAATATACTTTCTACGCTTATCAAGACTTCTTGTTAGCTGTTTGGTGTCAACGGATCAGAGTAGCCTACCTGGATGCTGGGTCATTGTCTCGTTCTTGTTTATCGACTAAAGTGAACTCGTAATAGTTCCAAGCATACCTAGTGACGAATCATAACAGTTATGTGACAACATTAAAGATCAAACTTTGTACAACGCATAATAACTGATGGTTTAAGACTCAGATGAAATATTCATTCTCTTTGATCACTTGAAGTTTGACTTTGAAAGAAATAATGACTTTAACTATTGGCAAGGTACTTTCAACGCTTTGCTATGCTGTAAATATATTTGCATACATTTATTGTACACCTATATTTGATAAATTTAATAAACCTGTTAGTTGAATATTCGGTCAGGATTTGATTGTGAACAATTTGGTCTCGCGTGCTGTTACGGGTATGAGAGTGGATGTCACTTAACAGCTGCCCACACCGTGGAAGAGTGATTCTCTTGAGGAGGATGAAGAAAAGGTAGATTAGCGTTGGTCTTAGAAGCCTGAGGAGCGTGACCGTAGAGCCTAAGGGACAACTACTTGAGGCCGGTCAGACACGGTCTTTTTATGAGAGGTTTTGAAGTGTTGGCGTCGTTCTTGTTTAAAAGACCCTACCGCCGAAAACGGAAATATATGAAGTGTGACATCTTTGCGGTTGACCTTTTCTAACCGCTTCCTTCCTTGTCAGAAGGCGGCATCGCTGCAGATACTCGTCGTCCGAGGGAAACATCCTACTGCTGTCACACCCCTCTGCAGTCAGAAGTACGAATTCGCTCTCAGACCTTGAGTAGCTGGTTTTAGTCTCATCGTTCTCGAATCGACCTACCTGGCATGGTATGACCTTTAGGAACATATTTTCCAGTCATTATAGCTCGGTTAGGTCATCACGATAGGCAAGCCCGACCACCACCAAAAGGTAGCAGCTATGGTCGGGTAGCTGAATATTGCTATCTATTTTTAGATTTGATATGCT